GACAGTCTCAAACTGGGACAAAACAGGTGTCAAGTACTCACTGGTTTTGAGTAGTTCTATAGCTGGTATCAATCCGTGATCCAAACTGAACCGAAACAAATCCATACAAACAAACCCTTGAAAAAGAAATTATCTTTTGATTACTTCTCTGGAATGTCCAGACTTCCCGACAAGTATGCTTAGCTATTTATAAACAGTTTTCGAAGGTATTTACTTAAGAGGGATAATGTTGGTTTTGTTGTGACTTCTGAGCTAGATGATGGTTTAATTGCAAAGCTTTCATTATCGACAAAAATCTAATATGGAAAATTCCACTGGAAATTAAATTCTGGAAATTGTCCAAGAAATAAATAGTTTTCTGTCAGGGTGAGGTTAATTCAATTAAAGAACCACTGAAAAGCAGGTATAAATAGACAGCCACTTCGTCCAACACTGTGACTCTTCAGAGGTACGCACCTATGTGCCAAAACGGAATTGAACCAAGGACCTAGAGGTTGCTAGTAGAGCTCTAATTTCTGCCGATTCACGATATATAGCACCCAAATGCCTGCCGACGTCATCAACGATAATCTACCATCACATCCAACTTGATGAACCCCTCAGGTCATGGCTTTCCACTAGAATTTCAGGGAACATGATCCTAAAGTCAGGCAGTAGTGAGCATTAGATTAATTTTAGGCACTTTCTGATTTTCAATGGTACCTTAACTAAATTGAGTTCGTGGTCAGACTTGAAATTCGATTCGGTTGACTGCACTGTTCAATATTTAACAGGATAGTTGTATTTCTAATAAACTAAGCAGTGTGACTTTAGGTGGTATGTGTTGCAGGCAGTACTAATGGATACATTTTCGCAAATCAGGTCGATGTACTTCTGATAAAAATTATTAGACCTTTAATATCTTTAATAATCAGTTTTGATTACATAGTAGGGCAGTTAATCTAATCTACCTTTCTTTTAAAAAAATATTTCGCGCAAGCTTTTGTTTTTTTTTGTTCTGTTTTTTTCCCTCCTGTGTTCATCTAGTTTAAGCTTTTTATCTCTGTTTATCTGCTTATTATTATTATTAGCCTAATGAAGTAACGATAGTTTTAATGTAATAATTATTCAATTGATCTACACGGCGGGAAATGTGATTTGAAATTTTTTCTAAAAATAATTTGGCAAGCGCATTCCTGTGCACGTGACATTTTTACTGCTTTTATGATATTGGAAAGCCTAAAAACAGAATAAAGAAGATTACACATCTCCACTTTGCTCTATTTTCTGCTCTCATCTTCAGCTGGGTCCACGATTGTCCATAATCTCTCATCTCCTCCTCGCCACACTATCTCCTCCATGTTATCTTCGCACTGGCGACCCACTTTTGGCTTTTCATTCGGATTCCACTTGAGCGATGGCCTGCATTGAAGGCGAGATCATTCGGCGATCTCCTCAGTATGTGCACTATCCATCTCCATTTTCTCTTAAATATTTATTGAAGGATCAGCTCTTGGTTGCTTGGTCGTCAACCAAACTTTCTTGTTACTAATTCTTCTGTCCATTTTTGATCTTCAGTATTATGCCAGTGAAGGCAGATATTGATGAAAATCTGAAGCCTGTTTGAAATCGTTTTTTGTGACAGGCTGGACAAGTTTCTGACCAGTATATTGAAAGACCAACTTGACAGTGGTGTTGAAAATCCGAATCTTGTTCTTTGTGCAACGGAGTGCAGAAGATTTGTAAACTGGTTTCAGGTTGGTGAAGGCGTATCTTGCCTTTCTGATGCCGTCTGACTTTAACACCTTCGCCAGTTCCGCTAGTAGTTGAAACGATGCTTCGCAGATAAGTGAATGAGGCAACCTCTTTAAATCTCTTCCGTTGATAGTGATTGGTGCTGTTGTTTGGTAATCTTCATCAACTCATTCTTCTCTATGGTCACTTGGATTCCTGTCTTCGCTACCTGTTCAGCCAGTTTGTTGATTTTTGCCTGCAATTCTTCGAGTTTGTATGACATTAGACATCATCTGCGTAATTCAGATCTGTAAAGAAGACTACGACCACAGATTCTTGACGGCGAATTATTACTTACATTTAGCTTCTAAATTGAACTATGTTTGACACAAAATGGTACATTTGTTACTTATCGGTCAAACATTTATGCCGACAAACTCAATTTAGTTTCATCTTTCAAAGTAGATTTGAAGCTGAACTGAATTTAGCTATAGAATTATTGAAAACAAAGTTTGGTAACCACTTTAAAGTATGGGTATGTGTTGCTGTAGAGTCCTATACAAGAAAGACACGGCTATATGATGACTTCGACAAAACTGACCTACAGTGGGCTCCACCACGCCAGGTTGAAGCTGTTATTCATGGATAGCATTGGATAACAGAAGCGCGTCACGAGTAACTGACAGAAGTCAGAATCCAAGGGATTTTGAACTCCAACCCACTGGTTGGCTGGTAAACAGCTGGCTTTCCTGGAAACTTAAATCTCTTAGATTTGATCCCTCATAAAGCCATCCTATCAGACTACAGAAGAATGTCAAATTGGGATAAGACACCTTTTCATCGTTACAACTTCTAACTTACAAACATTTGTTATTATATCCCTTAGTTCCCAGTAGAATATAGGACTTCAGTAAAACAGTACTATCACTGCACTCCTCCTTAGCCAGCTCTAAAGTCTGTGGCTTTGTTTGGCGCGCTTTATCACCCGACTATCTTCTAAGCTTGTGTCCAATCCATCTCTGTTTCCTTCAACATATATGTAAGGCGGTGGGTTCTGGATTTGTTTGTCACTAGTGTCCCTGGCAGATTACATTTTATCGCCTTCTTTTCCTCCACATTGAACCATCAAAGGTGGCTGTTGATAAAAGTCTACAATGGCCTGTTGTAAATACTTCTGTTGAAGCGCACCGATTTTCTGAAGCACACTTATTTGTGTACTTATCAGTGTTGCAGATGTGAATCTTCATCTTTATGCTGGTTGCAGCAGACTTTCATCCTGACCTCAGAGTTGGTAATATCTGTCATCTTTTCCAAATTTAACGTAATGTGACATTCTTATCCTGTATTTGCAATGATGCTGTGTGGATAAGTAAAAAAATGACCGCCTTCAAACGTTTTCCAGTATTAATGATTGGCGTCTTATTGTTGATCGTTGTGTGTCCTGACCACTTCTGTCTTTTCTTTGTCTACGCGAAGTCCTGTCTTCACTGCTTCTTCTACCGACTTCTGGTTTATTACTTGTAGGTCTTCGATTTTGTGTGATATCAGACAAAAACAATTCGTGAAGTTCAGATCTTTCAGAGTCCTCTTATGGATCCAACATATTCTTATCTCCTTACTCCGCATTATTCAATCTACCACAATCAGAAATGTAGGCAGCCCTCCTCGTTTCACTTTCGTAATCACTTAGAAGACTTCACTGAGTTTTCCGTTGTGGATCACTTGACATATGGCATTGTCATTCAGCTGTTATATAAGTCTGATAAAAGTTTCGGGCACTTCCAGAACCTGAATAAGTTTCCAAATTACTTGTTGGTTAACGTTGCCAATGGGATTTTCAGAGTCGATGAAGCTCAGGTCGAGATCTGCCTTCCATTCAAAGCTCTTTTCGACAGTCATGCATAGCACATGATTTGTACTTCCCAAGTCCAACTTGTTCCGACTGAGATTTGGTATCTACAGCACCTTTTATTTTCTCAAAGATACCATGAAGTAAACTTAAGAAACTTCTTTATACCGTCTCAATCAGATCAATCAAATCTACACACATAGATAGACGCATACTTATTTGTTTGAAGCTGTTTT